CTCGCTGCTGCACGCACCGGCTCCCTCCTGGGAAACGCGATACTGTCAGCCAAAACACTGTGCAGGGGCAGCAGCGGTGGGAGGGAAGCCTAAGGGACGGGAGACAAACGTTTGTAGCTTTTTGTGCCGTTCCCTGCCCTGCTGTGCCCAGGAAAATGCATTTCAAGGTGAGCAAACTGGAAGGTTTTCAACGTGATCAGCAAACTGCACCCTGCAAGCATCCCCTTTGCCATCTTTTTCCTAGCCCACCCAAGCATTTGCTGCAGGCAGCTGTGGCACATAAACCAGATGCAAAGGGTCAGCCCAGGTATTTGGTTTTTATTTTTAAAAAAGTAGCTTGCATTAAACCAATCCATGCTCCTGCTGCTGCCGTGGCACAGTCTGCTGCCGGCAAAAAGCTCAGCTGCTGCTGGTTTGACCCACTGAGGTCCCAGAGGAGATGTGGTACTTTGACAGACTGTCCCAGACCTGGGAAAATGATTAAACTCGAGTGCAATCAGTGGGAGAAAAGCTCTTTCTGCTGCAGGTGCAAGGCACCTTGTGCAGCCGAGCGCCGGGTACCTCCAGCCTGCTTTATCCTCCCACTAGAGAGAGGGCTGCAGGCAGAGCCAGCCTTTCGCAGGCCACCTTCCAAACTCCCCCAGCTACTGGAAAGGAGTCAGAAAAGGAGGAGGAAGGAGTGGGGGAATAAAAGGGTGGGAAAAAAGCAGGCAACTTGGCGAGCAGAGTTGCCGGGAAAAGGGGGAGCAGGCATGCAGAGGGCAGCCTGCCACCTCCTCCCTGGCATGGGGGGCTCAGCCCACGACCGTACCATTCAGCCTTCTTGCAGGGGCAAAGCCCATGGAAACACGTCCCAGGGGGCTCAGCCCCTATCCCAGTGGGGCACCGCTGTGCTGGCAAAGCCTGGGAGGGGGCTCAGGGCCCCCACTTGGCTTTGCATGCTTGAGCTGTTCCCAGCCGGGCTGCCACGTCTCTCCCTTGCCCTCCAAAAGGGAGAAGGGGGCTGGCAGCCAGCAGAGCACCGTGGGAGAGGCAGCAAGGCAGGCGTGCAGGAGGCAAAGCGGAGCTCAGCTGGCTGGTGAGAGGTAGGGACCCCAGCCCCCGTGGCAAACCCACTGCCGGCCACTCAGGCTAGCCCCAAGGGACAAGTGAGGCAGGCCAGGGACATGCCACCATCCCTGGCTGCAGAGCTGCTGCCCTCAGCCCTGCAGCCACCCAGGGAAAGGGCTGAAAATGGGGTGGAAAGGGGAGATGTGAAGTTTGGGGTGGATTTGAAGTCAGGCATCCCTCCTCCCTTTCCCATTGTGTTGCTTTGTCTGTCCTGGAGATGGGAGAGGGGGAAAGTCCTGTGGATGCAGCACTGCTGGTTAGCAGCGAGGGTGATGGGGTACAGCATCACATGCAGCCCTTTGCTTTCAGTACCCAAATACCCGGGTCATTAACCTGGGTGTTTGGTACCCTCCAGCACTACCTCCTCCCGCAAGCGAGTGGAAAGATTTAGCGCATCGGGAAAAGCTGGGGAGCTCCAGAAACGCATCACTAAACAAGATGGGGAGGGGGAAGAGAGCTGCTTTTCATCTGAGCTGTGCTACAGGCACAGAAGTGCCTGAAAACAGCTTTTTCTTTGCAGGAGTTTGAGAAAAAAGAGAGGGACAGCGTATGGGAAAACTCCTGCCAAACTAGGCAGCTGGGTCAGGCCAGGCAGGCAGCACCCAGTGCTGGGCAGAATAACGTGCTCTTCTGCTCATGTACAAGAATAATTTCTTCTTCCTCTCCCCCTTCCTCAGGAGCATTTTGCTTTTTGCAGTTTCTCTCCTTTCCCTCTGATCCTTGCCTGCCTCATATCCAGTGCTGGGTCCCGAGCGCTCGTGGGGACATCTTATGTCAGAGCTGATCAACCAGGGATGACCATTCTGGGGAGGTTTGCCAGGCTGGATGCTCTTCAGCAAGCCTGTTGTTAACGCAGCTGGGCTGTGCAACGTGGGGCTTGGGTGGGACAGCAGTGCTGGGAAGGGGCGATGCTACTAACAGGGATACAGGCAGCAGCTTGGCTGGTGGGTACAAAACGCTGTGAGCAACTGGTTCATTGTCATGCTTCAGGAAAGGCACTGACCTCCCACCCTGCGGGAGGAAAGCCCTCATCCTCATGTGTGCTGTCAGCACCAGGAGTGCTACTTCTACCATTCTACCAAGCCTTGACGTTTCCACTGGTAAGACCCCAATTTTGGTGGCTTTTTGCTGAAATTCTGCTGAAACCTCTATAGCTTTGTCTCAGGCAGGAGGCGGTGATGCCTCCTGACAGGTTTCTAGGGGACACAGCCAGCTGGCTCTAAAAGAAAAACCCTATAGCCACCACCAACAGAGCAAAAAACAACCCGAAGGAATTGCCCATGTCTCCCGGCTCGCTCTTAACAGACAACATAAGGTCACCAAGCCAAACAACATGTGGTCAGTAAATGCCAGAATTAAGGTAGCTGTGGTAACCTCAATTCAGGCTGCCTTTGGTGTGAGCAGCAGCCCTGCCTGCTGGTTTTCATGCCCCGGCCCCGGGCAGCGCACAGGAACAACTGGTCCATGGAGCAGGGGGTTCCTTGGGATGGCTGTGGCTGCCAGGGGCTGCTCTGCTCCCAGAGCTGGAGAGGAAGGGGCTGAGCCAGGCAAGGAGAGGGTGCACAGTAAAGAAACACTTTTGGGGTGAAGAGAGGTGAACATATCACTTTGGAGGAGGGGACGAGAGCCTTGGTCCCTGAGCTTGCTTGCAGTATGGGGATTCACCTGAGCTAAGGTCTTCTCAGACACTACCCCATTTATTTTTGCATTTCCCATTTTCTAAGTGTAGACTTGGCTCTAACCCATGGAAGCAGCCACATCTTCCCAGAGCCTGTGAGCTCTGACCAGGCTGATACGGTCCTTGCCCTGAGGTCACCAGCATCACAGCTTTCAATGCTCAAGCCCAGGTGACGCAAAGTATTCCAGAAATAAATCACATCTCCCAAGTGCCTCAAACCTGGCACCCAACTCTAGTGGAAACCTGTCTCCTTATTGCCCCTGTATCTCAGCTCATTGCCTGCAAGGGGAGGAGCACGGATGCTGCGGGAGCCATCTGTCACCTCCAGGACCAGGAAGGGTCCTGGCAAACCAGAGCTGGGAGCTCTCCCATGTCAGCATGCGCCTGCACACAGAAGATACGGCTGGGGCACAGATAACCTGAGTTCAAGGACTGCTTAACCTCAGAGTGCTCAGCCTTGCAGCTCTCACGGTGTTTGCCTAAGGTTGTTTCCTCCTGCGTCATTTGGACAGTGACGGATGCGTGTCCCTTCTGACACAGCATTTCGCTTTCCACTGGGCTCGTCTCTGCTGAGACGTCTCATAGTTTCCAGTTAGTGATTAAAGACGTCGCTGATGTCTCCTCTCCCCTTTTTTGAATGTTTTTCCAGTGACTCTCTGGCTGCTGCCTACACAAACCTGCATGGCTTTGGGATGGTGGCTGCATGAGCAGACACAGAGACCCTGGCAGTCCCTGCAGCCCTGCCTTTCACCTCCTAAACTCTTAATTTTTAAGTTGGTGCAATCCAAATCCATACTGGCCAGGAGACTGCCCTGCCACGGACCAGTCTAACAGCTCTCCATGACTCTTCTACTCCCACATCTCTGTAGGAAAGTCAGCGTAATGAAGCTTTAGCTCCAGCATACAGTCTAGAGCACCAAGGGCCAAGCCAAGGTTGCAGAGGGTTGGCACAGCAATATTTCCCCAGCCCTTGTCTCTGAGCTGGGGAGCTGCTGGTCTCAGGCACAGCCTGAGGGTGCATGGGAGCAAAATAATGGGTGCAGGCTGCTCCGGGGGTGCAAGCTGAGGGGGAACTGGCCCAGAGGGAAAGCAGAGGACAGTCGCTATCAGGTGATCGGTAAGAGTTCTTACTGATGAGGCTTTGGGAAGCTGGTTTGCATCACTGTGTGCAGATCTGGCTGAGAAACCCGTGACATGTCTGAATCTGAAACCAAGTCAGCAAAACACCCAACCTGAGAGGATTTTTGGCACAAGGAGGGTCAGGGCGCTAGACTTGGACCCTGCAAAAAACGAGGCAATGCTAGTGCAATACTGCAGCTCGACGGGGAGTTATCTGGGCAGAGGTTCAGGAAAGAATTATCCATTTTCTTTTGGGAAAGAGGGAATAATCAAAAAACGCCAAATGACAGTCAATTCAGAAAAACCGCATTTCTGAGGAATAGAGAAGAACCAAACCCCAGAAGCTTGGTGGGAGGATTTTGGACTTTCTCTAGTGTACGGTTATATATCGCTCCCAGAAAAGCTTCACGCAATGTGTGTGTGTGTTCCTTACAGGTGTCATCACTGGGGCTGTGGTACCACATGTACGTGGTACTACCTGTGCTAGATTTCTTTGCCAAATAGTTTCGCACTTCAGTTCAGTGCAGTACCTTGCAGGTATAAACCCCACTTCAGTGCTTTGCCTGGTGGCAAAGCACACAGACTCTCCCTGTCGCCTTGTGCCACAGAAAACATGGCTGGGAGGACCTTGGACATCAAGGCAAGACAAAAATCCATCCAGCTGGACAAAGGGTGGCTGTTTGTCCAGCTTCTAGGTGGTAACCACCGGTGTTGCTTCTCTGTGTCATCTTCTGCACTGCAGGGAAGATGAGCACAGAGGTTGCTGGCAAGGGGACCTCTCCTGCCCCGCCTCTCCTTGGGCTTCTGGTTTCAACCACTGAGCTGGTCCCACCCAGTCCCACATCCCCTGAGAAGGCAGACCCAGTATCCATCATCATTGCGCTTGTCTGCATCTTCGTCCTCCTGGCGACCTTCCTCATCTTTGTCACCCTCTGCAAGCTGGGGGCACTGGACGGGTCCTGCTCCAGCCCCCACGAGTGCATGCCCCATCACCCGGCAGATGCCAGCGAGCCCCAGCTGAGGCTCTGGAAGCGGCTGGGCTCCCTGCAATGCTCCATCAACACCTTCAGGAGAAGTCAGCCAGTGTCCCACAGCCAACTTGCCCACCCCAGGAGCCCACCTGCCAGCCAGGACTGGGACATCATGGAGTCCACCAAAATGTGATCCTGCTCTGTGGGAACTAGCTCACTGTGCACCACTATTCTTTCCCAAGCTTTTGGTTCAGGCTTGATTCCCTCCTCAAACAGCCCCTGGGTATCCTGGCCGAGCCCCTTTAAGCAGCTCTTTTCCAGGCAGCGGCTCTGCAAGGCGACAGGAGATTTTGCTATTTCAGGCTCCCGAACGCTTTCCAGGTACACTGTTTCCTGCCAGGAAAGGTGGAGGCATCTGAACTACACCCACACACAGCCATCACTGGGCAATCCAAAAAAATCTTGCTGCTTAATTTCTTTTGGAAAACGTTACGCAAGTTGCGAGGCACCTGAACAAACAGCCTGGGTGAGAGCAGAACAACCTGGCTGCCTTGAAAAGAAGTATCCTGGAGAAAACACGCTCTGCAAAAAGCAATCCTCAGCCAAGACTGCCCCTCCAAGATGTGCTCCTGAGCAGGTGGAGGAAGGCTGGTGCCCCTCGCGTACTGCCCGGTCCCCCGTCCTCCCCATCCCAGTGCAACGAGCCATGGGGTTGCTGCAGTTGATGCTTGGAAGGATGCGCGCTACAGCTGTCTGCTGGAAAACTGCTTCAATAAACGAGCAGCAGGAGCAGGTAAACACGCCTGTAAATACATTAAAGAGGTCTTTTGAGGCTTGCAGCCGCTGCCAGCTTGGAAAGGCACTGCGCAAAGCTGAGCTTCTCGATTCTGCTGGGAAAGGGTACAAAAGCCAGCAGGTAAGCTGATGTGCTTAAAGGAATCAGTAGGAAGAAGACAAACTGGTTTAATTCTTCCGGGTCTGCAGCTTACACTATGTTCAGCCACCAAGTTCACCCCTTTGGGTGAAGTCTCTGTGCCCAGCGAAGCCCCACGGTGAGCACCAAACTCTGTCTCTCTGGGTTTCACATGATTTCTGACCCTCGCAGGGTGCAGCTCTGCTTCAGGACGTCCCTGGGCTGCCTGGGACATTCCCGCTCTCCTCTGGCTCTGGGCTGCCTGGCTTTCAGAGAAGGCGATGGGGAAACCTCCAAAAACTCTCTTGTTGCCACAAGGACATGGGGGTGTATTTGAAGGGGGAGATATTCAATACAAATGGTTCACACTAAAGCCGTAAATTAAACTAAACACAGGTGATTGCCCATTTCCACTTCCCTCTGAATTTGTTCTGTGGAAAACAAACTTCCCCTCAGATACCGTCTCTCCTTCGCCACAGACTGCCAAGGGCATCCCCCTCTTTTGGGGAATATGCTCTAAAACAATGGACTTTGATATCAGATTTAGGTTTCCTACTTTCCCAGTCTTTCAATTTGCAAAAATGGCTCAGTTCTGGGAGTCCCACAGCAGGGCTCCTCTCCGCCTGCGCAGCTCCCCTGCAGACCTCCACCCCTGGGTGCAGAGACTGCAGGCAGATGCCCGACCCCAGAGACAGGCGCGGTGCTACGGGCGTCACGTATACTGTGCCACGGCACAACAGGTGACGAGGAGCTGCAGGGCTCGCGCTTGGGGACCAGCCGCCCCGATGCACAGCTCCCAGCAAACCTTTGTTGCAAGAGACGAATGGCTCCTTTCTTCTCTCCCGGTGACTCACCCTGCCTGCGAGAGCCAGGGACAAAGCTGCCCCTTTCCTTGTGCCGGAAGAGGTATTCAAGGCAGGAGGAGCCTTCCCAGAGCCCTCTGCAAAGAGCCTTTGGTGCCCACTCCAGAAGAGCCCTGGGTTTGAAGGGATGCTGGAAGCCCTCGGAGGCTGAGTGAATGCCCGCATTCATTCAACGCTCACTGAGCCATTCAGTTCTGCCCACCGCTCCCTCAAAGAGGAACAAAAATGAATTCAAACTCCAAACACTTTTTTTCCCTCCATTTCCACCCCCCAAGCATCTCTTTGCATGCACTCTTCTCCCTCCCCCTTGAGGTCTCTGCTGTTGGTCCCTTTTCCGCTGTGAGGAGGGAGAAAGTGGGGATGCAGCCAGGCAAAGCAGCCTCACCAGCACAGGGCTTGTGTTGTCTCCGCTCACCTCCTGCAGAAATGGGGTGAATTTCTCATTTTTCCCTTGCGCTTTGCTGTTTCTCCCCTGTGCTCACAGCCTGGGTTAGCAAAGGAGCAGGGGGACTGCACAAGCAAGAAGATATCTTGCTCTGGCCTGGGGGAACAGGCAGATGATGGGGAGATAAAATCTTTGCCCTGGGCTTCCAGTAGTTCACAGCCACGGTGCCAGGGCCCAAAGAGTGGGGGATCCCCTTCACCCACCCAGGGGCCCCAGCGGAAGACAGCCACATGCCTGCACTATGCTGCTGGCAGCCGGGATGTCCTCGGGGACGCTGACTTCGTAGCTGCTCTGAAGGAAGATGGGTCGGTTGTCATTGACGTCCAGGATGGTCACATACACGGTGGCAGTCCCAGTGCGCCGGTTCCCTGTGGGGCCATTGTCTGTATGGGAGAGAAAGGCAAGGGGAGGTTTGGTCACCTCCATCTTCTCCTTGCACAGGTGGTGCTTGGCCTTCAGCTGCTGAAAACAACAGGACTAAAATTCCTAAACTAAAATCCTCTGTTTTTTCTGCAGCTTCCAAATCCCACATTGAACCACCAGGTTTTTTTCTGCCTATCCTGAAAGAAAAAGGAAAAGCCACTGTCGAGTGAGGCTGGAAACACAACTGGTCATTAAAGAGGGTTTGCCACTCTAAAAACTCAGAGGGTGATGTATGCTGGAAGGGGCTGCTAGAGGTCAGGGATTTGGGAGATGAAGATGGGCAGGGCTCTGATGAGTTTTCTGTAGACCCAGCTGAGCTCACAGCCAAAGGGCACCAGGACCAGTTGATGTTCAGTAGACAAGGACATGGCAGCGTAGCTCTTGGTTTTACCAAGAAGGATGAGGCAATGGGGAGGATAGGTTGGGGTTGGTTTTCCCAACATGCCTAATGCCAGTGAGCACTAAAACCCACCCAGCTGGCATCTGGTGACCAGGGAAACACAGGCAGCCTGATACCGCTTGGAGGGGCAGAACGGTCCCTGTACCACTTGGGATCCGGTCCTGCGTGCCCAGCCAGTGCAGCATCCTTGCTGCCGACCCCGTGGCACCTGCAATGCTGTACCCCCCAGATTTCTGACCAGGCCACTTATTTGTCATTTCAAAAGGGATATCGAAGTCTTCTGTAAACAGGCCCATCATTATAAAGCTCTGGGGATGATGGCCAAGATGCATTTGGTACACGGGCCATCTGCCCATGCCAGGTGGCTCTGGGTTAATCGGCAGCCACTGAGCCAAGGGCTGGCATGGCATTAGGGGAATGATGCTGTGGTGCTGGCATTTCTGGATGGAGGTGTGCCCTGGGCAGCATGAAGCCTCTTGGGAATGAGGGATCTTGCCTTCCCCAGGGGAAAGGGACAGCCCCAGGGCTGGATGAGCCCGTTGAGTGAGTTTACTGTCTGTAAAAATCATGGTGGAACTGGGACATATTAATGCTCATGGGCTGTGAAACGGTGACACCAAACACAGGCTCTGGTTTATAGAGCACCTCAAAGGTTGCTGTCTCTCTGCTGCAATTCCAAGGCAGCTCAGTACATGCACAGCCACCCTGTGTGGCTGCATGGCAGCGGTCCCACAGGAACAGTGGGAATTCCTTACCAATGGCCTCCAGGATCAGTGTGTACGATGCCACGGTCTCTCTGTCCAGGCTCACGACAGTCCTGACCACCCCATCCCTGAAGCCAACGCTGAATTTGCCGTCCTGGTTCCCACCTGCAGCAAAGGACAAGGACCAGGTTAGCTTGTTGTCTGGATGCAGGGAGCAGAGCCCATGCTGCGGGGGATGCTGCTGCCCGGGCATGGGGTCAGCTCAGTGGTGGAAATCACAGGCGCTCAGCCTGGCCTCCTGAAGGGCTGCATTTTACGTGGTTTTGAGCAAGGCAAGTGTAGGGCAAGCCCATGTCTGGTCCTAGGCAAAGCTTCTCCGCGGCAAAAGCGGGCAGAGCACCTTCTCCCCACCACACCAAATGCTGTGCTTGCCTCACAGCGCAGGCAAAGAGCGATGGTTGTAGGAAAAGCTGAATCATATAAATGCCAGATCATTTCCTGAATGCTTCGGAAGCAAACTGGGGTCACTTTGCATGTGGCCTGCGGTACCTGTGGGACAACACACACCTTTTCTCTTGCGGGGGAGGCTGGGGGGGGCGTCAGATGAAACACAGGGCTGCTATTCTGAGAAAAATGACTCTGGTGACACTTCTATTTTTGCCCTCTTCCTGAGGGCTGAATGCCACATGTGCAGTTTGCAAGTCAAAGCGCAGCCAGGGGGTTCCCCAGCCTCTGGCTGCAGGTGCTGCAGCTGCGATGTGAGCCAGGCCCTGCCCAGGCGGCATTGCTGCCCGCCTGCTCCCTGCCCGCCCAAACCCACCCGCTCGACGGGCTAGAGATGCCCCAAAACTCCAGAGAGGCTTCCAGCCTTACGTGCATTACGCCAACGCGGCCCCAGCAGCGGTAAGCCCATCCTCACGCTTTTCCTGGCCGCCTCCCGATGGCGAGAGAGGGCAGGGGATGCTCGGGGGTAAATGTTTGCCCCGGGCAGGACACGGAATAGCGGCGGAGTGGTCAGCAATGCGGGGAGCCAAGCGGGGCTGTGCGGCAGAGGGCGATACCGCACAAGGTTTGGAGGGGCTGGAAAACGCAGTGCTGACAGGTTTAACACCCTGGCCATGGTCTGGGGCAGCCTGCTCCTTTCCACAACCAAAGCTCTCCTTCGCAGCATTCTGCAAGGGGTTCATACCTGTGATGAAATAGCTGAGCTCAGCGTTCAGCCCAGTGTCAGCATCCGTGCAGTTGAGCCGGACCACTTTGAAATCCCGGGCCACGTTTTCAGGCAGCGACACATTGTAGACGGCTGGGAAGAAGGTGGGGTTCTCATCGTTCACATCCAGAACTGAAAGAGGGAGCAGAGTTCAGGGCTGGCCCTCCTGCAGATGCCAGGCTGATGTCTGTCAAGCTCCCAAAACCACCCGTCTGCTGCTCTGAGCATCCCAGAGAATGCTCCGCCTGCTGCTCCCTGCCGTCTGCGGGGTGGGGGGTGCCTGCAGACCGACTGTAAGGACCGGTCCCCACAGCTGCAGGCTGTATTTGGTTGCCACTGATGCACACAGATCACCCCCCTCACATCCAAAGAAACCCTACATAACTGTAATTAAATTTACTGTTTGCACCAAACTCATTTCCATCCCCATTCAGAGGAAAATCTGGGGCTTAAATATAAGGTCAGTATTTCCTGGTGTATGGCAGAAGGCTCTGGAGTTACAGGACCAGAAGCTTCTTTTTCCAAACTCAGGCACAAGGAGAAGCCAGGGTCAGCTTATTTCCAGAGGATGTTATCCTCAGCACTAGGCTTGTGTGAAACCAGTAAATAGAAATGCATTGATGAATTAAAGACAGACCACATAATAAGGGTGTCAGTGTGTCTCCTATATAAACCACATCTCCCCCTTGGTGACATGTCCTTGTCACCCATCTTTTTGGGACTGGAGGGGCTCTCTGGCTGGGCAGGTCTTGGAGCAGTCCTGGTGCACCCACCTTTGACGGTCAGGGTGCTGGTGGAGCTCTTGGAGGGCACGCCGGCGTCGCTGGCCACCACCCGCAAGTAGTACTCGGCGATCCTCTCCCTGTCCAGCATGGTAGTGGAGGTGATAAGCCCACTGGTGCTGTTGATGAGGAAATCCATGCGGGGCATCCCCACCTGCATGCGGTATGTCACCTGCCCGTTTGGACCCTCGTCCAGGTCAATGGCCACTACCTGGTGGGGAGAGTGGAGTGAAGGGGAGAGCATGGGAGAGTGCAATCATCTCCTGATGATGAAAATCACAGTGCATAAACTCTGATCATTTCTTTGTCCCCAAAGATGCCAGGATGAAACAAAGGGGCCTCGAGCCATCCCCCCTGCTGGGAGTGAGCACTTGGGATGAGATGCCACATCCCCTTCTACATCACCCCAGTGGGGCTGCTAGAGGATGGAGAGGATGGATGGAGAGGATATATTTCTATCCTGCTTTGCAGAAGTGATGGCAGTGACAGCAGCAGCTGCCAGCATGGGGCATGGCAGCAATGGGACACACTCACCTGGAAGACGGAGGAGCCTGCGGGAAGGCCCTCGGCAATCTCGGCGGCGAAGGGCAGGTTTTGGAAAGTGGGGTCATTGTCATTCAGGTCGAGCAGGTTGACGAAAACTGTGGCACTGCTGGTAGCTCGCAGGGGTGGCCTCCCGCCTGTGGAGGCCAGGAAGGGGGTCTCAAGATTAATGCCTCCAGCCATTTCCAACCCTTTCCCCCAAAAGGACTCCTCACTCCCTGTGCAGACAGTCATGCAGGATGGGGTTGCCTCCTCCAGGCATTAACCTGTCCGTGTTACTGCTTGCCCTGCAGCCCATCAAACTAATGGAATAGGCCCCTGGCAGGGGAAAATGCTCCCTGGCAGCAGGCATGCAATACAGACTGACAGCTACCCATGAAGGCAGCTAAAAAACAATAGCAACGCCAATCTATCCTTATCCCTGTCCTTCTGGCAGGCTGGATGGAATGATGGCCTTAGCATGGTGCAAAAACAATGCAAAAATAGAAATGGGCATAGAATCATAGGTTGTAAAAGACCTCTAAGATCATCAAGTCCAACCATCCACCCAATACCACCATTCCTACTAAACCATATCCTGAAATGCCACATATACACATCCTTTGAACACCTCCAGGGATGGGAACTCAACCACTTCCCTGGGCAGTCTATTCCAATGCCTGACCACTCTTTCAGTAAAGAAATTTTTCCTAATATCCAATCTAAACCTCCCCTGACCCAACTTGAGACCATTGCCTCTTGTCCTATCACTAGTTAGTTGGGAGAAGACACCAACACCTGTCTCACTACAACCTCCTTTCAGGTAACTGTAGAGAGCAATAAGGTCCCCCCTCTGCCTCCTGTTCTCCAGATGAAAGTTAAGGTTACATGTGCCTGCTGGCTCTTGGAACCCAGCCAGATAATGGAAAATTATCTTCATCTTCCTCTCTATTTTTTTCCTATAAAAGTTTCCCTGAGATACTATTTCCAGAGCAAAAGACATTTCACACTTGATCCGCTCTTTTCCCCCCACCTGCTCAACTGAATTCCTAGATCCTGATGGAGCCAGCCTCCATGCATGGTATCTCACCAGTCCTGCAAGCCACGCAGGCTCAGCTCAGCAGAGAAACCCCGAGCTGCCCAGCAGACCTTGCAGAGCAGCCCAGAAACAGGTTCCTCCATGTGCTTTGACAGACTGCATCCTCCCAGCAGCACGCTACAAGCACCTGGCACTGCCCTCCTCTCCCTGCCTGAGCTAAACATTCACATCTTTGTGCTACAGCCCCTGCCACCTACACACAGCCCAAGCGCGGGTCTCCTGCAAAACAGACATTTCACACACCAGGTGCTTTTGGGTTTGTTTTTTAACTGCAAAATGCAAAAGAATGGTGTCTTCTGTAATGAGGGGGAGTTTCTGCCCCCCAGGCTCATTGTCAGTGCTGCTACAGGAACTACCACGCTTGCATTTTGAGGGTTTCTAGTTTGGTTTAGCAGCAGGTTTTAACTTCCTCTCATGTTTTTAACCTCAAAAACATCTTTGGAACTTATGCTCAAAACAGGAAAAAAAAAAGAAACTTCATCGTAAAGGAAAAATCAGGCTGAGAAAAGTTGAACTCAACATATGAAAACCATCAGGGAGGGAAGGCAGAGGGTGAGGAGGGCAATGCTTGCACAACTTGAGCCCCAGCAACTTCTAGTGTGCTCCAGCGATGGCAGAGCAAGAAAAAAGAGGAGTGGGATGGAATTGGGCCTTACAGTCGGTGACCGACACCACGATCCTCCGCATGAGCTGGGCCTCCTGGGCATTGGGGTTCTCCCGGTCGAGCAGGACACCACTGGTGCGGATCTTGCCTGTGGTGCTGTTGAGGCTGTAGAACTTGTTGGGTGGTCGGATGCTGTACACCACCGTGCCATTCTCCCCCAGGTCCGGGTCAACTGCCACCACCTGCCATGAAGAAACAGCAAAAATTCAAGCGGAGTGATCGGAATTAACTCCCATGGTGCATCACCATGTAGATTCACCAGTGTCTAATAATGAGGCTGAGCTCCCATGACAGGCTTCCCCATTCCAGTGGCAGCAAGAAGTTCTTCCTCCACACAGATGTATATTTTCATGATACTTGCAGGGATTTTGTACCCTGAGACATCTATCACAGTGTTAAATCTCACTGATATTGGCCTGCAAGCCCAGGAGGTAATGGCATGGCAAGAGATACATGCGCACGCAGCAATCAAATGGGCTTTTCTCCTTTTAAATAAAAGCAGCTAGAAAACACACACTCAAAAAAATAAAATAAACAGGACAAAGAAGCATGCTGAAGAACTTGTGCTGCCGCATCAGAAACGCTGGAAATAATTCACTGGTTGAGTTTTCCTCCCCGCCAGACATTTTGTCTTTATTGTTCTTCCTGTGACATTTTTAATTACAGGGTACATTTACATTAAAAAAAACCCCAACTTCATTACACTCGTAACTTGCCTGGCCCCCGCTGCTTGTTCTGCAACTGAATTTACATCGTATCAGTGACACAATAATTATTTTCCCAGCAACTAATTGGGATGTCAAAGGCAAGATGATTTCAAGCAGGCACCGAGCAGCAGGGCTGGTTCCACACGGAAGAGAGAAAACCACTGTGCTCTGGCTTGGGCTGCACTGCCAGACCTTTCTTCCTCCCCCTCCCTGAAATCTTTTTCTTTTGCAGCCTTCCTCCTTATATAATTTTGTGGATTCTCTTCACTTTTCCCTCATTTATTTTCTGTTTCGTGCCCGTCATTTTTCTCCTGGTGTGATGAAGTACAAGCTTCCCTCTCTCCTTCTCTTTTATTTCACCAGAGGGACTTGAAAGGCTGTAAATCAATGTCTTTCAGAGAGGTCCTTGAAGGAGGTTGCAGGCAAGGCTAAGAAAAGGAGAATTTGGCCAAAGCCCACACAATATGGGGAGAAAAGAAAATACCCCAGCAGAGAGGAGAAACACATGGGATGGGCAGCAGTGAGGAGGCTCAGGAGTAACCTTTCAAATGGCACTTCTGCAAGATGGTGCTTGACTGGAGGTGATACTGGTTCAGAGGTGACTCCCTGCTCCAGCCAAGTGGGTGAGAACCTCACCAGCTGAAGAGAGGAGGCTTTCAGCACAACAGCTGCCTTCCCTTGCACGTACCGTGGTAACGTCTGAGTTGGGGGGGGTCATTTCCACCAGGTTAATGAGGTATGGCTCATCCTTCCAGGTGGGATAGTTGTCATTGATGTCCAGCAGCGTGATGTTCACCTGTGAGCAAGCGAGCAAGCAATGATGTTATCAAGCAATACTGGATCCTGGGGCAGCACGTTGTGTCCCCTTGGATGTACTGCAGCACCAGGTACACAACCAGGTTCACCCTCCGGAGAGAAAACCTGCAGAAAATCGACCTCTTGCATCTTCATAGCCAAAGCTCCTTGGCATATCTCATCTTTCTTTGGCTCATGTCTACTTATTACCTTGCAGCAACCACAGGGGCACGAGGTGTGTTTTCAAGCAGCTACTTCACTGGGAAGGGAGAAACAAATGGGTCATGGTGGTGGGGGAGAGCACGCAGTGGAAGCATGGCAGGAAAGGAAGGAAAAAAAAAGAGTGACTGGTAAAAAGCAAGAAAATAAAAAGGAATAAATGAGAAATCATGAGAGAGTACAGTAACGGGGGTGGGAGGTGCAAAGACAAGAGAGCACAGGGGAGGATGGTGCCCTGAAGTGTTACCTATCTTAATTTTCAACGTGAGAAATGGCATCTAAGTGACAGTATCGAGCCTGTGTGTTGCATCCTGTTGTCTGTGAGTCTCTCACCTCCCCAGATCACTTGTTTCAGTCCAGCCTGTCAGTCTATAAAGGTGCCTGAGGGACGAGCTGCGGTTCAAGGGAAAGGGAGGCAGAGGGGCAGGAGGGAGACCCTGGCACCTACCACCCCCACGCAGGGTGTCTCAGTGGACCTTCTCCTGGGGTCTTAGGTGCTCCCAAGAGATCAGGTCCTGCCACTGCACCAGGCTGAGCTCCTGGTGCCACCCCGTGGTAAAAGAGGCAAATTTGGACCCTACAGTCTCCAAGGAACTGCCCCTGCACAAGCCAAGATGCTGGGGTGGTCCCTGAGGAAAGCTGCTGACCCACTGCTGCCCAGAGCACCCCAGGCGCTTGTCCATCACCCGGTGACCTAGCAAAGCCCCTGAATAGACCCTTACTCTCAGATCAAAAATGATTACAGGGAACAGCTTTGAGTCCCGGGTGTACATCCTTGCTAACGACAGCAGAAAAAGTTAATCGGCCACCCACTTCTCATAGAGTTTTAATATTCTTTAACTTTTTAGGAACCATGATGCCTTTTTTTTTCCTAATTGCTATCTGTGTTACAAAAACCTTGTTTTGCCTTTCAATAAAGCTATTAGGAGATCATCATCTCATCTGGAACCCCATAGGAGAACCCAGGATCTGACAGGCCATGCCATTGCCCGGCCAAGGCCGTCATGTGCTTCCAAGAGGCTCCATAGGGGTCTTCTAGTTTGCTACCTGGATCATACACACCCTGATGACCCTCAGCAGTAGTGACAATTATTTTAGGGATCTCCTTAGCACAACTATAACATTTCTCTGCATTGTCCTCTGTTGTGTGGGACATCTCTCCTGCAACCCTATCAAGCGTCCCAGGAGCAAGAGCACCCAAATGTTACGAAATGTTCAAACCAACTTGGAGCAGTAAGGAATGGATACTTGGTTTTTGATCTCCTGATCTTTATAAGACTTTCACAAACCCTTTGTAAAGGACAGGTCTCCTCGACGTCTGCGAAGGGCAAGATGAAGCAGAAGGCTTCAATCTGCACTACAATGGCCTGCACCTCTACCAGAACCTTCTGAGGAGCCCAGGAATCACAAATTGGTTTGAAGCCCTTGATCCAGGCAGTATGTGAATAGCAGTCATCAGGAACAACAAAATGTGCCTGCAGGTTCTCCAACTAAGCATTTTCTCAAGAGGCAGGAACAAAGGGAGCCGTGCTGTGGGTGGAATAGGTACCCATTACCGCCTTCACATGGAAAGCTGGACACATAAAGCTCTGGAAGATCAAGTGGCTCCTGGCTGAATGGCTTGCCAGAAAAGTGAGCCCAATTTCAAGGTCTACACAGCACAGACAGTCTTTCTGCAAGGGCTGCAAGTAGCAGTGGGGGCAGCTCAGAGGGCAGACACCACTGTGTGCTCTCTACCCACTCACACAGCTAAAATTAAACCCTGCTAGCACGGGCAACTGAAGTGTTGGTGCCTGGGAAGCCCTCCCCAACACCAGCCCCAGGTGGGCACTGGTGGCTAAGGGAGATGGGAATTGCTCCTTCACACACTCACCATAGCAATGCCTGTCTTCTGATGGTGGCCCACACCTCCATCCACTGCCCGGACAATGAGGATGTACTCGGATTTGGCCTCCCGGTCCAGCAAAGACGTTGTCGTGATTTCTCCTGCAGTCATAGGAGATGAGAGGGATTAGAGATGTTGTATGGCAAATAGGGGCATTGGTGAAAAAAAGGGACACTCAAAACCAGAGACAGGATCCTTCACAAATGGGTCCTTTCTTCTGATTCAGTTTCAAATAGATGGACTCTGGAAGGGTCAGCTTGTCAGCAAGCTCCTGAAAACTTCGTGTTGTATCTTCCCACGGGAGCCCATGTAACCACTGCCTGTGATCCCTTCACACTCATTTCGGTCCGTAACGAACCATAAACAATGCCAGCAAGGGCAGGCGGGCAGCAGCTCCTTAGCTAACGTAAGCCCTTGCAGCCAAAGCTTTCCTGAGGTGTCACTCGCACCAGGAGCTGAGCTTCCACCAATGCCTCTGCCAACGCTCTCATCTTGATTAAGGAAGTACTGGTGGCCTAAATCTGGTGAATGCCTTAGATTGTGTGTCTCCTCAGCAGGCTTCTTCGGGGAGAGGAGGGAAGTGGAGGGAAGGAGAGGGGGTGAAAGAGGAAAAATGGTGGGGAAGAAAACCAGGGGAAATTCAGGAGAAGAAACTGAAAGGAAAAGAGGGAGAGCACATACAGAGGCTCACCTGAACGAGCATTGATCCGAAAATGAGAGGAGCCCTCCAGGGAGTAGATGATTGACTCCTGCCCATACTCCCTGGACCGGTCCATGTCCGTGGCATTGAGAAACAGCACCGTGGCTCCTTGGGGGAGGCAGAAATGAGGGCTGGAACGGGCATTTGCAGCCCAGAGCAGCTCTCCCTAGCTGCCCTGCCCCCCACACCACTCCTGTAGGTTACCCAGCCAAGGTGTCCCTTCGTCTGCATGTACAGTGCGACCAAACCTGCGGACCCTGTGGCTATGAAACTCTGCCAGGTCCCTGGCTTTTACCTCCCCAAACAGCCATCACCCACCCCGTTCTGGCTGTAAGACCCCCACAACCCTTCTGCTAGCCTGGAGAAGGAGCAGGGCCATGCTCTGTACCTGCCATGATGTCCTCCATAACAGTTATAACAAAAGAGGGCTTGCTGAACGTGGGGGGGTTGTCGTTTTCATCCTGAAACAAAGAGAAGGTTGAGAAGCTGGTTGGGAAAAAGGCAAGATGCTCAAGTAGCTGCAAAAGCCTGGTAAGGGCATGCTCTTGGCCAGCTGTACCTCAAGATGTGACCAGCTTAAGACATCAGCATGGAGCAACTGGCTTTAGGGGTAAGGCAGCAGAGGTCTGAGCACACGATTTCACTGCAGAGGCAGCTGAGGTTAAGGTAAACTGATTGTCAGTGACTTTGCTGAGCCATACAGTGGCGACAATACCAACTACCTCGTTATCCAGCATCCTGGGCAATATGCAACAGGCCTGAGGAACCACTGCTGTTTGCAGCCAAGCATCCTCTGAGTTTCTTCTGCCTCCATCGCAAGCTCTGGGAAGACTCAAACACCTCATGAAGCACAGCAGCATCACAAGCAGACCTGCTCCTCCCTCTTGGAGTGGTACACGAGCGGCTTAGTGCTCTGGATCACCCTGGCCATGAGGCCACCAGGCAGACTGGACTGACCAGGGGAGCTGCTGAGCTTTGGCTGCCTTTAAATGAAGGAATGCTGCTGGTGTTTGCAGAGAGAGCAGCTACAGCATTTTCAGGGGTGAAGCTGGTTTGCATACCAATGTGCATCCTTCAAGCCTGTCTCTGCCAGCAACTATGGCCGGCCTCGTGGAACTAGGCAGGAGCAATTGCTTGAAACATCCCTCAAAACACATTTTGGACCAGATTAAAGCTCGACCAGGAGGGCTTTAAATGCTGTTTAAACAATGTTAAGAATCCGCCTTAAATGAACCAAACTCAGCCACCTACAGAGGGAAGGATGGAGCCACCAGGTCATTAAAACACCGTTATGGACTTTGCCATCTCCCTGGAGCTGTGCTGAAGAAATTTTCTACCTGGAGACCGCTGATAGACCTGCAGGCTCAGCTGCTCCTGCTGCCACCGAACTCGATATTTGAGGCAATTTCACGTGCTAACGATGCCCATCGTACTGCAATTAAATTGCCATCCTCTGCTCTTGTTGCCGGAAGCAGCTGGTCTTTAATCAGCCTTTGCATCAGTCAGCTTTCACCGCATCTCCTCTGAGGGTAATGAGGAAATTACCGTCTGCCATGGGTGCTGTCCTCACCGTCCCTCCCTCTCTTCCTCCTCCTCACAGAGCCAGGTCAGGGTCATTACCCCAGGACAAACCCAGGACATCCGGAGAGGTTAAAGGCAAAGGAAATAGAGCAACTGAACACGCATCCACGTGCTGCCTGCAGCCAGACCTAGGTGAGCTGTGCCGTGGTCCAGGCTGGGTGGAAGCAAGCCAGAGCAGACATCACACCATTTCATTAGCGATCCTGAGTTCATCAGGCCATGCTTAGCACTGCCACGGCCTGGTAAGCCGGCTCCCAGGGAGGCAGGGGCTCACTCCTGGCCAGCTCTCCATCTGGCCAGAGTTGGCGTGCAACTGCCTGTAGCATGGTGCATGGCTTTTCCACTTGAGAAGGACATTTCCCACTTCAGCAATGTGAACTCCAGAGCTCCTCGCTGCAAACCGTCCCACGTGCCTCCTGCGGCACCCGCAGCGATGCCAGATGGGACTCGTCAGGCTTCCTCTGCTCCCACGGGAGAGGGCGTCTGACTAAACCACCGCGCTCATGATCCCACCTCACTGACTTCGACAAAACCAGCTTCCTACAGTCCCCCAACCCTCAGCCTCAGGCAGCCATCATACCATCTGCAGGGATGCTGAGAAATGCAGACACTCACACTTCGCACACAACTCCCTTTTCTACAGTCAGACGCACGCTATCAGTCACTGGCTCATCGCCCTGAACAGGGCGTCAGCGTCAGGGAGCGAGGCAGAAACTTATTAGCGGTGATATTTCCCTGGATCCTGGCGTGGCGCGTGCTATTAGTTCTGATTCGGCGGCTCCCTCTACAAAAGCGTATTGTCCCCTAATGGGAAATCTACAAGGCGAGTTTGACTTCTTTATTAAAAACCAACAACCAAAGGATGAAAAAAAATTACCTCCCTCCACACTCACTCTCGTTCTGCCTTTTCACAGCTCTTGTTCCTGAAGTGCCGTCGTGAAACGCTTCCTCCTCATTTTCTTCCTATTTTCTGGCTTTTTTTTTTCTTTTCTTTTTTCCAGTTGAGAGAAAATCTCTTTGGTTGAGAGTGGGAAAAGTGACTGCTGCTTAAACCCCACCAGTGTACAGACTCAACCCAGAGCAGATGACCCACTGAAGCGTGGTCTTTAGAAAGAGCTGGTTATACTGTCTAAAGCACAGCATGGAAGGGATGTATTTAAACACCACTACCTGACCCAGACTGCCTTGTTCCTCGCCTCCTGAGCACGGTGAGGGAGCTGGAGGAGAGGCATGCTCACGGGACTTCATTCCCATTCTATGGCACTGTGGACTTCCTCTTCTTCGCCTTCCCAGACTGACACTGCTGCCAGCCTGGCTTAGATCCCATCATTGTGAGACTGACAGGTTATCAAGCAAACTGTCTCTATTGCTGATACCTCTCTCCAGACGTTCTCGAACCACAAAGCCCCTCAAAGTGACAATCTGATCTAATCTTCCCAAGGAACACTGCGATGCTTTACGTCTCCCAGCAGCAACCCCTCCTCGAGCAGTTTTGCACCTATGCCAGTGTGTGAGATGCATGGCGAAGTCCGCAGCCTGGCCAGGATAGTCAGCATTGGGGAGATAAACAAGCCTGCCCGTGATTGATTCAGGGACCAATAATTTCTGACACTGCAAGTGCTAACACATGGCCAGAGCTCTCTCCTCTGCAACTGAGCTGCAGCAAGTGCCTCTGGCTACAGGCATGGAGAGCATCCCAGTGAGGAATTCCCTGTGAGCTGAGAAAAGGGCTCACCGGGTGCTCAGTGAACCTCTCCAGTCAAAAGCAAGGGCAGAGGGTAGACCTCCACCATGTCCCCAGCTCTGCTACTCGCCCTGTTGTTAGCTGGGGCTCCTATCACATTACTTCCAGCGGCTTCCTGGTGCATCGTGCACGGCCAAGGAGAGGGAGGAGGTGCATGAGGTCAGGACAGCCCATGTGCGCTTGTTTGTGGTGACACCCCCTCAGAGACACTCTCACTTGCCCTCTGTCACTCAGACCTTACCAAATGTCAGAGACAGTGTTGCTTGTACATGGGACACATAACACATACATACATGAGACATATGTAATTGCAATCCATATGTACACATCCACGGGGCGAGATAGTCTTGCTGGGTTATTGATGGATTAATGGCACTGCTATGGAGCAATTCCAGGGAGATCATGACAGGATTGTTGGGTGCTGTACTTACAAACACCTCGATGGTGACAGGGACAGTGCTGTTGAGTGGCGGGGTGCCAGCATCCTTGGCCATCACCGTCAGGTAAATAACCCCGTTGGCCACCTGCTCGTAGTCAAGGGGGTGGTTTACACTGATCACTGAAAGGAAGCAAAGCGGGGTCGTCAGGTGGGCATTCACACACCGAGCAGGACAGCAGGCAGGCTCAGTGGTGGCCCATCCACACCGCCTCCCCAAAGCCAACAGTGCCTGCTTGAGGTGGCAATGCCCTCAAAACACGAGTGCTGGGCACTCCTGAGCTCCTTGACCTGGCATAACCTGAAGCGAGCTGTATGCCCATGGACATACAGCTCTGCACTGGCTCGGCTCAAGCCCTGCTGCAAAGGACTGCATTGCAGGCGAGGTCAGGACAAGCCGAGGAGCTTCTGGAGCAGCTTCCTAAAGCCTGCTGATATGACGGCTTGCAGGGGTGTGAGTGCAGCCCGAGCTGCTGCTGCTGCTTGTCAGGGCCATGCTGCTTCTTGTCAGGGGCCCCATGGTCCCAGGAACAGTGCTTACCTCCATACCCTTCCGACACTGCGATGTCAAAGTAGTCACGGAAGGCAGACGCCTGCACGATGCTGTATGTGATCTGGTTGTTTGGAGGGGAGTCCTCGTCAGACGCCTAGGGCATGAGCAGAGGGAGTAAATGAGCACAGGAGCTGTGCTGGTGATGTGCAGCTGGAAAGAGGCGAGGGGATGGGAGGTGCAGGCTGGGCCCAAGGAGAGTGGAAAAGTGGTGGAGGAAGATGCACTTATCAGGGGCCCTGAGGCAATTTGTACACCAGCCTCTCCTCCCATCCCACCTGCCAGGAAGGACTCACCACGCACCCCTCTCCCACCTCCCTGAGGCACTCATCCAGCCTGGCCCCATGGAGGGAAAGTCATGCTTTCCCATTGTGGCAAAGTTTATTCCTGTGCTGAAGGAGCAAACAGTATTCCTTACCTGTCTTCCCTCTGCAGCAGAGGCTTACAGCTCCATCAACAACAAACAGAGCACTTTCCCCTCGGTGCCTGCTGACTTTATTGAGCAGAGCCAGGCAACACGGAGGCAGCGCCTGTGGCCTGGGAGAAGCCCCAGGTCCCAGGGATGCTGTATAGGTCTTACAGGAGAGGAGAAAGGAGGTAGCCCACAGCTGCAGCACTGCACCCAGTTGCACTTTGCAGTAAAGCACAAAGCATTTTTAGGAGGGATGCAGGAAGGACAACAGCATGGGTGGATGGGGACCTAACCCACTCCCATCCCCACCATACATCCCATGCGGAGGAGCCGCTCCAGTGCCTCACCCGGAGCCGGACCACCTGGGTGATGGAGGGCTCGTTCTCCCGCAGAGCCCCCAGGTATGCCTCCTTCTGAAAGGTGGGGACATTGTCATTGACATCGAGGACATTGATCCTGACACGTCCCGTTGTCTCCTCCCCGCCGCCATCCCGGGCAATGATGGTCAGGGTGTAGCGCTGCGTGGTCTCAAAGTCCAGCCGAGCTGTCAGGAGGATTATGCCCGTGTCCTTGTCCAGTGAGAAACTGAGGGGACAGGAAAGGAGGGGGGAAAGTCCTGGTGATACTGGAGGTGGAGAGGTGGGGTGGCAGCAGCGTGACAGCTAGCACCACGGTGGGTGAAGTTCACAGTTTTCTTCTGGGAATATTTGGTCCCAAAGCATCTTCAAGCGCTTGGCATAGATGGTGGGGTAGAAACCCTCAGTGCTGCTCTACAGGCAGAGAAAGTGGGCTCAGAGGCCCCCAGATCCCTTCCGCTGGTCAGCCCACGGGTCTACCCCAACGCCCACCACAAGTGGGTTGCACGCCGTGCTCCAAGGCCAACAACTCGCTGGCAAATGCATCTATCAGTCGCAAGCAGCGCTGGTGCCTGTAGGTCCTGGTTTAGCAAAGCGAGTAAGTGTGCTGAGCATCAGGCACGTCCTGAAGCTAACTCACCCCTTTGGGAAGCAGCATAGTGGGATTTTCACAGAGTATCTCGCAGGTAGGACATAACAAATGCCCTCAACAGTGTTGTGAATTCTTAGTGAGGTTAGAAGAGATTTTTGAAGAACCAAAGTCAGTGGTTCAGTCACACTTACCGGTCAGGGTCATCGCTGAAAAAATAACTGACTTTCCCATATGTGCCTACATCATTGTCAGTTGCCTGAAAAAATAAATGTTAATTAACGAATGAAGGTATTTAAGGCAACATTGCTTTACATGCACTGTTGAATCGATCACATCCTTTTTACCTCCTTTTACCCAGGCACCAGTAAACCTTGTGGCTGCCATTTATCACCTGAGAGATGGGGGGCTGGGGCTGTCTGTGCTTGCCTGGGTTATCCAGCACACCCCTGACTCGCAGCCTGCTCTAGATCACAGCTCTCCATCAGTATGTCTCAGCATCACTCCCAAAACCTTTGGCAGTGGGAAGTTTTCTGTGTACATACTTTCCCTGACAGACTAAGCTAATCTGGGAAGCACACGTGAAATAAAGGTCTCCATGGACAATTCTTGCGGTCCACCCACTCTGCTCCCGGGAAGCCCAAGAGCTGGGACTCCACATTCACAGTTCTTACTGTTCCCTGCGCATTCAGGGCTGGAAGCATGCCTGGGGCTGTGGAGAGAGAAATAAAAACCTATTCCACTTCAAAACTCCCCCAGGCTAAAACACAGACCAGGAAAAGCAAGGAAAGGGGCTTAAACCTTGCTTTCCACCAGCAGCTCCCACCGGAAAGCCCTTCCAGGGGTGCAATCTGCTGCAACCCCACTGATGGTCTGATGCCTCTCGGGATGCTGCAACGTGGGCGTGCAGTGCCGGCTCTCAGCCAAGCTGTTGCTGGCGGCAGGACTGGATGCACGTACACCGCTGCCAGCTGCTGACGCTGGAGTGGGCCGGTCACAGCTAAGCAACCAGCACCTTCTGTGGAAGGTGCGTGAAACTCAGTGTGTCAGCTCTGGATGAGCAAGGCAAGATTTATGTATGTTTTAAAGTCTTTTCTCTAATGAATATATAAAATATGCATGAGTGGCAACAGGAAAAAGGAGCAGAAAATTTTGGTTTTAGGTGAGGAAAGTGGAATACAAGCCCCAAAATATCCTTTTTCTCCCCCAGTGTATTTTCTAAATTGAGTCCTATCTGGATTACTTAGACACCAACAGGTCTGTGAAAAGGCAGGGTCAAAGACACATTTTATGTCCAGATACCATCAAAAGGCTGTATTTTAGGACTGGCATGGAACACAACCTGTTCCTGAAACCTTCTTGATTTATCGATGGCCTTGATTACCCTTGACAGCAGAGTAGGAGCTTGAGCACTCCAAACTGCTTTACCCCAGTACGCTGTTTACCTGCCACACCACAGGATGGCAGAGAGGAAAGGGCATGAAAACTAGCCAGGATGAATTCTTTTTTTCCTTCCCAAACACTTCCCCAGCTCGGATGGTAAATTCCTGC